TTTTGACTTCGCTTCTGCATTTGATATTTATAATATAAATTCCATTTTAAATTTCCGGGGCTGCTACAGTTGGTATCAGAGCCGCATTTCCTCGGACCCATCCCTTACACTAATGTGCCTTAGAGAAATACTCACCGATATATTGTTACTCAATCATTCCTTGTGAATACAGGTACACGGGAATGAGGAGAGGAAGACCCCCACTAAACCGAGCGGCCCCAGATAATTCACTTCGGGAGGATTTAGATAGACTATTCGAGATGGTGGAGGCTCTCGCAGCTGCCCAGCGAAGGCAAGAGGAGAGAAGGGAGTTACCGGGACCTCCTCCGCTAGCGCAGGTTGAGCCCCCGCTACAGCAGGTTGATCCCGAGCCACCCCGGCAGGAGCCTGTTCCTCCACGGTACCACTCGGCACCACAGCCGCGGTACGATCCGGTACCACAGCCACAGTACCAACAGGTGCCACCACAGCACATTCCAGTGCCCCCACCACATCAGCAGGCGCCACCACAGGGTCCCCCAGTTCACCCTCAGCCGGCCCCAGTCCCTCTACCTCGGGACCCCGCTCCCTCCTTGATCGACCCCGGCTTCATAGAGAGGTACAGAAGACTGAAGCCTTCTACTTTTTCAGGGGGATCCTCTTTCGAAGAGGCCCAATACTGGCTGGCCGAGACTGAGAGAGCTTTTGAGACCTTGGGAGTAGTTCCTGAGCAAAGGGCTGCCATTGCCTCCTACATGCTGGTAGGGGAAGCAGTACGCTGGTGGGAGCTCAAGCGGGCCACCCTGCCTGTACCAGTTACTTGGGAGCAGTTCCTAGCGGCCTTCCATGCGGAGTATCTCCCTAAACACATCCAACATTTAAAGGAAATGGAATTTGCTCAATTGGTCCAGGGAAATATGACAGTGTCGGAGTATGCCCGCAAGTTCCTGGAGCTGGGCCGACATGCCCCGGAGACATTGTTGGATGAGGGCCGAAAGGTCAGGAAATTCCAGTGGGGTCTCCGCCCGGCGATCAGACAACACTTATTGGTGATGGAGCTCGAGACATATTCGGCAATCCTGGCAAAGGCGCAG